CTGTGTCTGTGTGTGTACCTGTCTGTGTGTACCTGTCTGTGTGTACTTGTATGTGTGTCTGTGTGTACTTGTATGTGTGTCTGTGTGTATGTGTCTGTGTGTACCTGTGGGTGTGTCTACGGTAGATGTAGCGGTTAGCGCACTGCACTGCGAACCCGGCGACCCGAGTTCGATTCCTGCTCACCACCAACATCAGTGACCATTATCTGGACCGGTTCTGGGCCTTCCCTAGGTCGACTCAGCCTCAAATTAGTAACTAGTGCGGCGTGTAAACATTGCGACTCGGGAGACAAAGGCGGCCGGGCGTGGTGCTGGCTACCCACGCCCTCGTGTGCCGTTCCGGCCTTCATAGGTGCTCACTAAAAGCACTTGCCCCTACAGTCTGTTAAGGCTTTACGGGGATCTTTGTTTTTGTCTGTCTGTGTGCGAGCAGAATTTACTTTTATTGGTGCCCTGCTCGCAAACTGTACTTACCCCAAACAGTCCGTTAATGCTTGACGGGTGATCTTTATCTTTGTTGCGGAATCGTGTAACGTCATTGACAGCGGGCACACACGTCCGGAACGCGTCTTACTTTTCGGGACGTCTTATAATCCGGGTCGTGCATGCTGATCCTTGATTTCCAACGCTCGTTAAAGTCATTCTGTGCCGGACAAAATGCTCCCCATGTGTGTTTAAGCCTCAATTCCTACGATCTAATTGACGGAAGTTGTCTTCTGCCCCCGCCGAGAACACAACCTCGGTGAGAGCGGGGTCTCGTCGTCCCACTCCTCTCGCCTAACGCCGACCCACGGGTCGCCCTACGCTCACCCCCCGCACCCTGCCAGCTTCTATCTTATTGCTTACACTTTAAACTAAAACATTTTATTAGTTTACCAGGTAAGGCCCACTACGGAGCTATATAGCTCTCTTTCAGAAGTGACCTGCTCACAAATGATAGCTCAACAAAGTTGCTTATGTGAAAATGTATAGCAGCCAAATATTCCAAAAGCATATTTATAAATGTGGAGGAACTTGAAAACTCAAAATAAACAGGCGTCAGGGTCGGGATGGATCCCACGACCTCCTGCATACCAGGCGAGGTAGTTAACATCTCGCAGCCACCGTGGTGATGATGAGAGAGAGAGACACGCAAACTTTAAATATACAACAGGCATCAGGGTCGGGATCGAACCCACGACCTCCTGCATAGCATGCGAGGTAGTTAACATCTCCTAGCCACCGTGGTGATGATGAGAGCGAGAGACACGCAACTGTAAATATACAGCAGGCATCAGGGTCGGGATCGAACCCACGACCTCCTGCATAGCAGGCGAGGTAGTTAACATCTCCTAGCCACCGTGGTGATGATGAGAGCGAGAGACACGCAACTCTAAATATACAGCAGGCATCAGGGTCGGGATCGAACCCACGACCTCCTGCATAGCAGGCGAGGTAGTTAACATCTCCTAGCCACCGTGGTGATGATGAGAGCGAGAGACACGCAACTCTAAATATACAGCAGGCATCAGGGTCGGGATCGAACCCACGACCTCCTGCATAGCAGGCGAGGTAGTTAACATCTCCTAGCCACCGCGCTGCCCGCTTGGCTTAACGTGACAACACGAACATAGGCTGGTGCCTACCCCCCACCTCCAGCTAATCCCCCCCCCACCCCACTCATCGCCCCCCCCCCCTCCCCCCGTCCTGGGATAATTGGCATCGCCCGTTAATTCTATTTAGCGCCGCCTGCTAATTTGTAGGCATTGTCGGCCTGCAGAGCGGTGTGCCCGGTGGTGGTGGTTAATTGCAATTAGGAGAAGCTCCGCGGGAGTGGCAGTGCGTGCGTGTTGCGTGGAGCGGAGTGAGATGCCCAAGGGAAGAGGGGAGGGAGAGGGAGGACTGGAGGAGGCATGGTGATTGTAGTTCAATCCTTTGCCAATCTCAGACCGGTGGTGATGTGGTCATCGTGTATGTACGTATGTTGAACTGCTTTAGCACCGTGTGTGGCCAACCAATGCAAATCGGAAGTGCGGGGGAAGGACAACAAACTAAACACAAAAAGTGCATAATATAACGTGGCATATAAACAGGTGCGAGCGTGGTGGTGGTGGTGCCGCGCTCTGGTAGCCTGTCAAGAGCGCCTCCGGGGAGATGCAGCTACGAGAGCGGCAGTGGCACGAAAGGACACGACGGAGGGGCCCTGCAATGAAGAGTCGTTCGCTCCACGTTCCTTCGCCCGCTGTTGTTCACCACGTGCGCACCGTGGCGTGTCCGTGTGAGTGGGTGAGCGAGCGAGTGGGTGAGCGAGTATCTAGGGGGAGTGCTGGTGCGGCAGTTGGCGCGCTGCGCTACCAATCTGGCGCCAATCCTGTGACTCCACTAGATTGACTCAGCCTCAATTGAGTGCTTGGTGCAGTGTGTATAGAACATCAGCACTCCGGAGACATCTGGCTGGGCGTGGTACTGACCACTCACCCCCTCGTATGCCATGCCGGCCTTCGTAGGTTCCACTCGCTAACAGCAGCACTGGCCCCAACAGTCTGTTAGGGCTACGCATGGGGGGGGGAGTGTGGGGATCTTTTCTGTTGGGTGCGCATCTGTCGACCCTCCGAGACGTGTTGGTGACGTCGCAATGCGGTTGCTCGCAGTCGCCGTCCACGTTGGCGAGGTTGAGGGTGAAGCCAGGAGGGAGGTCGCTGGTGAGGTTGCGAGGGTGAGGCCGCCAGGCCACTCGAGGCCCCGCTGGGACTCGAGTGATCACGAGGCCCTCACGGCCAGGCCGCACCGTCGGCCTGGCCGTGAGGGCCTCGTGACCACTCGAGGACCCCGCTGGGACTCGGCGGGGAGTATTCCCGACGCTCGCAACTCTCGCACTTGTTTACTCGGCGCTCTCATTACACAAGCTTGCTGCTGCAAGTCAAGTGCTGTTTTCCCAGCGGAGGGCTCATTTAATTGTCGAGCCGAGACTGTGGCAAGCGAGCGAGCCGCTGAAGGAACGAGAGAATTAATTGTTGGATTAATGCCTGGAGATGGAAATGAAGAACAGAACCCGGGGCTTCACATGCTGGGAGATTTTTCAGGAACAAGAAATGTAGTGAAACGTCGGACATCACAACAGTGGAAATGAAGCAGTGTCTTCCAGCACGGGAGTGTGTGTGTGTGCGTGAATATCTCGTGGTTGGTGATGTGGACCCTATTGGAATGAGTTAGATACCCAGCCGTGGCTAACATCTGTGGGGAGTGATATCTGAACCAGTCCTGGGCCTTTACTCGGCCGACCCTGCCTTGAATGTGTCCCTGGTGTGGTGAGTAAAGCATCGGCATTGGGGAGATAAAGGCAGCTGGGCGTGGTGTTAACCACACCACCCCCTCGCGCTTTGTTCGAGTCTGAACAGGTTCTGTAGCTCGGTCAGTGTTGATGCTCTACGGGGGGACGGGGACGGAGGGGGGGGCGATCTTGAGGCTCGCGTGTGTGTGGAAAGTAAGCGGAGCCCGGGCAGGACGCGTCACGGCCAGACGGGACGTTGGCCGACGGTCCAAGAATAAGAATAATAATGATGATGTTAATGATGATGATGATGGATTGGCCGCCAAGCGGTGGAGCGACGCGTCCGAGTGGCGTCTGTCCTCCTGGGCGAGGTGGGGCGATGGTGAGATCTCCTCGTGGCAGGCAGGCGCCGTGCGAGACGGCGGCAGCGGCTTGGGGAGGCCTTCATCCAGCAGTGGATTGACCGTGGCACTTGCTGCCGATGATGATTGATATGGGATCACCTCTGACTTGGACTCTGCATGCACGATTCTTCATTTCAATGTTCCCGTCGGGCGGAGACGTCGTGTTTATTTTGATTCATGACTCTTTTTTTCCATGTCGAGTAATTGCGGTGATTTCTGCGGCGATGCGCGGGCGGAGTAATTTGGGCTCCACTCTCGCCGCACTCCGCTCCTTGGGTCGTCGTGAACACCGCAGCAGCAGCAGCACGAGGCCATCGTGTTTACGTTTCATCGCAGTGAGATAGATGGAACCCGATTGCTGCCCCGCGTGGTTGTTTTTGCGCTGGTTTCCATTCGCTCCGCCGCTGTGCAGCGCTTTGTTATTTCCATTTTGCGATCGTCGTGTTGATGAGACTCCTCTGCCCCCGTCCTCACACATGCTTTGAGTTTCTAACGAAATCAATCCGACGCGCTTGCGTTTCCCACGTGGGCCAGGCCGCCGTTATGAGAGAAGCGTTTCCGCGTGGCTCTGCGTGAGCCTGTTCGCCACAGAGGAATGTCTCCCAAGCGATGGGGAGTTGTGTAGACACCGCTAGGCCACCCCCCTTGGCCCACGCGCTCGCACGGCACCACGGTGGAGTTTCTCATATCGGTGGTGATGCGTTCAGTTCTGTGCGTGTGTGTTAACCAACTGGCGGCAGTGCGGCGGTTAGCACACTGCGGTACAAACCCGGCGACCCGAGTTTGATGGCAACATCGGTGACAAGTATCTGATCCGGTCCTGGCCCTCACCTTGGTCGACTCAACCTCAAATGAGTAACTTGGTGCGGTGTGTAAACATCGCCACTAGGGAGACAAAGGCTGCCGGGCGTGGTGCTGCCCTCCCACCCACTCGTGTGCCGTGCTGGCCTTAATAGGTGCTCGCTAATGGTGCTTGCCCCAACAGTCTGTGAAGGCTATACGGGGGATCTTTGTTTGTTGGTGTTGTAGGCAACTGGCTCATTCTGGTCATCAGCCGTCCTTGCGTCAGACACTCACCCTGACACCCCGCGGGCCACTGCGAGGGCGGCCGTGAGATGGTGGCTGTGAGGTTGGGCCCGTGTGTAGGTCGACCACCAAGCACGCCCGGGTGTCAGAGGTGGCTGCGTGGTGCGCAGTAGAATCGAATGTTCTCCCACAGCTCTGTGTCGCTGCGTCTATGCTCCCCACCTTCCTTCACCAGCCCGCACCGACCAGAGCACATGTATGATGATATTGCCACGTGTGACCATGCGCTCCATTCTCTCCCTTCCCCCCCCCACCTCCAGGAAGCTGCTCGTTTGAGAATGACCTCGCCACCTGCGGCTACTCCCAGGACAAAGATGACGACTTTGATTGGCTGCAGACCGGGGGTCACGACCTCACCGTGGAGGCGGGGCTGCCCTCAGGTGAGCTACGGGCGCGTGATCGCGTGCAGCCACGTCGGCAGCGTGGGTGGCTGGGATGACGCGAACGCGACGTTGGGCACGGCAGTTAGGGAAGCGCCGTCCCGTCGCACGGCGGGATCGCGATGGGCGCGTTGCGTCGGCTGCACGCCTTTGACAACGCCGGCCACCTGCCGTGTTGCTGTTTACTTCCCCACGCCGTTGCGGCACGCGCTTGCGCTTCGTACGCAAGGAGCGCCGGCGCAAGAGACGCTCGACCGCCGTCGGGTGTCTCTTTACGGGGATTTGTAGACGCCAAGGAAAAGGAACGCACGCAGGAGCGAGCGTTCGCTGATCACTGGAAAGGGGGGATGATGGCCGAGACAGCCGGAGGAGGCAACGCGCCGAGAGGATGTGGCAAAGCGGAGTCCAGTCGTATTGTTGCATCGCGCTCGATGGCAACGGTCTGGGAGCGTCCTACATCCAGCAGTGGATTGATCATGGCGGACGGTGAGATGGGCATGGCTGCTCCCTAGGGCTGGTTGGCGAGCTGGCGGGTGGTTGTGTTCGCTGCCAGCGTGCGGCTGGCAGAGTTGACTGCGCACAGCCGGGCCCTCCTCCCCGTCTCTCCGCATCATCACCGTTCGTTACGCTCCCAGCCCCACCACCATCGGTGGTGGTGGGGCTGGGAGAGTCTTAATTTGTCACAACAGGAGACGGATTTCTCCTCCATGACCCCTTCGCCAAAGGGAACCGCCCGTGCAAGCGGATATCACAGAGCTTCCTCTGAGACCCCTTCTTCCAGTGACCTCCGACCCACACACTGTAGAGCGCAGCACTTGCAGGAACCACCCGTGCTGCCATGTGAGTGTAAGGTCTGTCACGTGACAGTCAAGCCGACATTGTAATTATCAGAGCTGTTATGTTGTTGTCACGTTCTGACCCGCCCCTACTGGACATCTGTAAAAAATGAGCTTTACAGCTCATCGGATTTCTCCAGTATAAATACAGAATCTGATTCTGAATTTAGGGGAAAGTGCTGTTTATCAAGGGGGACAAGGGTCCCCCAGACCCCCCCCACCTCCCCTATAGATGTGCTACAATAAATCTGACGATTGTTATCGCTCTGCCCTCTTGCTCGGCACACTCTGGCGCGTGCATGCTCGCTTTCTCGCTCGTTCACACACACACACACAGAGTCGCGCGCGTGCGTGCGTGCGTGCGTGCGTGCGGAGCGATTCACCGCCCTGTTTGTTTGCTCAGCTCGCTCAACTTGAAATCCGCAAATGAATTTGGGGTTTCCAAATATTCCCCTTCTATTTCGGAGCAAATGTTAGGCCGTGCGAGCGTGTGAACACAGCGCACGCCCACAGCGGCCCGAGTTTGCGCCTGTGAGACCCCCCCCCCCCCCCCGGGTCTCCCTTGGGGAGGAGATGGCGCTAATAGCCGCGCCCGTTCGCCCGGGCGGGATGTGCCATGCCAACGTCTTGTGATGTTGTGGCCTCGACGTACACCGAGCCTGGCACAAGCGCCGTCCTGGTCGCTGTGTGTATGTGCGCCTGTGTGTTTGAGCAAGTGGCAACATGATAACACGGCCATGCCACATGCTCACCACCAACCCGCTCACCACCAACCAGCTCACCCCTCACCACCAACTGCTCGCCACCCAACTGCTCACCACCTACTCACCACGGAGCCACTCGCTACGTGCTATTTGCCACCCACCTGCTCACCACCTGCTCACCACCCACCCACCCTCTCAACGCCTACCATCAATCCACTCACCACCCACCATCCACCCGTCCACCACTCACCTGCCACCCAGTCGCCACCCACTGCCCACCTGCTCACCACCCACCCACCCTCTGCACTCACCACCCACCCACCTGCCACCCACTCGGGTTCCACCTGAATTATTTACGAGTTCGCTTGCACCGCGCCCAGCACTGTGCCCATGTTTGCTGTGGCTACTGCACCACACAAAGCACACACACACATAGGTATACACCCAGGCAGTACACACACAGATAGGTACACACACAGACATGCATAGCTATACAAAGACACAAAAAACAAAGACAAAGATCCCCTGTATAGCCTGAACAGACTGTTGGGGCAAGTGCTGATAGCGAGAACCTATGAAGGCCAGCATTGCACACGAGGGGGTGGTTGGCCAGCACCACGCCCGGCCGTCTTTGTCTCCCCAGTGGCGATGTTTACACACCTCACCAGGTATTTATTTGAGGCTGAGTCGACCTAGGGGAGGCACAGGACCGGTTCAAATTATCGTCACTGGTGTTGGCCATGAGCGGGAATCGAACTCGCGTCGCCGGGTTCGTAGTCTAGCGTGCTAACCGCTACACTACCACTCCCCTACAGACACACACACATAGGTAAACACACATAGGTAAACACACATGTACACACAGATACACATAGGTACACACATACACAAAGTTACACACAGACACACACATGTACACACAGGTACACATAGTTACACACATACACGCATAGGTACACACACACACAGCTACACAAAGATAAAGATCCCCCATTTAGCCTTTAACAGACTGTAACTACACACACACAGCTGCACACACGGGTACACAGACTCACACACATATATACACAACAACTGCTTTTCACCACAAATAGCGATGACGTCACCAAATCGCTTTTGCCAGGATAGGTACACTTCATTATGTTAACATTGTTTGCAAAAAGGGGACGATGTGTTTTCTGCTGCTACGTGTGATCTCATTTGAGTAATTTTCAGCTATGTGATGTTTGGCCAATGCGAGTTACATGGTCTGTGTGCTTCGCTTTGAGGCTGCAAGAAGTGTGGAAGGCTTACTGCTGACAGGAGCTCATGGGACAGACCCAGGTGCCATGGGTTAACTGACTGTGATGTCTGGCAGATGCACCATCTGCGCTGCCCACTGTGCCTGCTCACTGCGTTTACCTGCAGGTTCTTGTGAGCATCGCTCCTCCGCCTTCCGCTGTTGTTGGTGGGCGGCTGCCTCCAACTGTCCAGGAGCCGCAAAAGTGCACCTAGCCTGGCACTGCCCAGTAGCTAGCTTCTGTCACGAGCCTCTCTCCACATAGGCCGCTGTTGACACTGCTGGTATTGGGTCATTGGCTAGTCCAAGCAGAAACACAAACACAGAAAAATGTTTCCATACCCAGCACACCACATCCAGAAGACCTCCTCTCCCAATGGCAGCGACTGCTCGTCACGTGCCACCTCCCCCAGTCTCCTGCAGCTGGGCCACTGCCCTCCCCTCTCAAATTAAAATCTAATTACGTCTCATCTCATTCCCGCCGACTTGTTTACTTATTCAGCACTGATTGATTTTCTGTTCCGTCAGCGCTTATGGCCGAGTGCCACCGCCAATCAAGAACGGGGGCTCCGTTCAATCCCCGCTCGAGGTGACGGGGGGGGGGGTAATAAATGAGTACAATTTTACGAACCCTGTTGTCTCGAGGAGACACACCACTGCCACCACCACAGGAGTGCGGTATTACCACCACCGGCTCGCAGATTAAATGTTGCACTCGCTCGGGAAACCGCTCGGATTCTCACTTTTGGCTTTGAATGATCGATGCGGTCATGGTGTACGCTTGCTCGCTCGCCCCCTCGCTCACCCATCCCTTACTCACCCATCCCTCGCTCACCCCCCCACTCACCCATCCCTCGCTCACTCCCCCCCCCGCTCACCCCCCACCCCCTCGCTCACCCATCCCTCGCTCACCCATCCCTCACTCGCCCCCTCGCTCACCCATCCCTCGCTCACCCATCTCCCGCTCACCCATCCCTCGCTCACCCACCCCTCGCTCACCCATCCCTCGCTCGCCCCCTCGCTCACCCCCTCGCTCACCCATCCCTCGCTCACCCATCCCTCGCTCGCCCCCTCGCTCACCCCCTCGCTCACCCATCCCTCGCTCACCCATCCCTCGCTCGCCCCCTCACTCACCCATCCCTCGCACACCCCCCGCACCATCCCTCGCACCACCCCCCGCCTCACCCATCCCTCGCACACCCCCCCGCTCACCCATCCCTCGCTCACCCATCCCTCGCTCACCCATCCCTCGCTCACCCCCCTCGCTCACCCATCCCTCGCACACCCCCTCGCTCACCCACCCCTCGCTCACCATCCCTCGCTCGCCCCCTCGCTCACCCCCTCGCTCACCCATCCCTCGCTCACCCATCTCTCGCTCGCCCCTCACTCACCCATCCCTCGCTCACCCCATCCCTCGCTCACCCATCCCTCACTCACCCATCCCTCGCTCACCCACCTCTCGCTCGCCCCCTCACTCACCAATCCCTCGTACACCCCCCCGCTCACCCATCCCTCGCTCGCCCCCTCACTCACCCATCCCTCGCTCACCCATCCCTCACTCACCCATCCCTCGCTCACCCACCTCTCGCTCACCCATCCCTCGCTCGCCCCCTCGCTCACCCATCCCTCGCTCACCCATCCCTCGCTCACCCATCCCTCGCTCACCCATCCCTCGCTCACCCATCCCTCGCTCGCCCCCTCGCTCACCCATCCCTCGCTCGCCCCCTCGCTCACCCATCCCTCGCAGTGGTCCTTCACAGGGTCGCTAGACGCACATTCCCTCTCAGCTGCCCACAGGAAAAGCTCTCTTGTTGTCCTTCCCCGCACCTCCGATTAGCACGGTTGGCTACGTACGGTGCGAAATAAGTGCAACATGCACTCTTCACTTCCCCACACCGTGGTACTTTTGTTTTTGAGCCTGGAGGGACGATGTGCTGAGCCAACCCCCAACCAAGCGTTGAACTCTCTGGGAGCCGCTCGCTCTCCCGAGCACGGAGCCGCCACGCCGACGTCCGCGTGGTCACCGCCTCAATGAAACCTTCGCGCTGGAGCCAAGATGCGGTAGATCTCCGGCTTTATTGACTGAAAACCAGATACCGACGTGAGCGAGCTGGCAGCCCTGGAGGAGGAGGAGGAGGGGGCCGGGGGGCAGGAGGAGGAGAGCTGGGTTTAACGACAAACTCGCTTGTAATTTGTAAACGAGCACAAATAACCAAAGCTGGCCGGCGTGTTCAGTCCACTCCATTCCGGACTCCTCTCTCCTGTGCGACGATTTGCTCCGGAGGGAAAGCAGCGACGCGAAGGTGGAATGAGGGCTGCGCCATGGCCCCCCCACGCCTCCCCATGCCCGCAGAGGGGGGGAGGAAGTTGCCACGGGCCAGGCTTTGTGGCGGGCGCCGTTCGGAGCGCGGATGGCGATGACAAACCAAGCGGCGGCGGAGCCCCCCCCCCGCAGCCTGACACTCGTGGCTCGGCCGAGCGCGGTCGGACTTGTCGCGTGAGACAATAGTTCAGCACGCGGGGGGGGGGGGGGGGTGTCTCTTCACGAATTCACGTCTACGCCGGTGGCGAGCTGAGTGACTCCTAATTCGGATGTTTCCGCAGGGCCTCCTTTTGCTCAAAGCCTTGACGGTGAATTTGCAAACGAGCGGTGTATTTCGTGAGAGGTTCTTGTTTGGATAGGCTGGCTCTTGTCGCCGTCGTCATCATCATCGTCTTCATCGTCGGGCATGATCAATCCGCTGCTTGATGACGGCGCCCTTGAGCCGTCGCCGCCATCTCTCACCGTCCCGCGATTCCCGCAGCCCTCGGCTAGAAGATTGATGAACGGCCGTCATGAGCGAGCGAGCGAGAGGGCGTTAATCAAGCGGCCGTGGTCACGCTGGAGCGATGTCCTCCTCCTCCTGCTGCTGCTGCTACTGCTGCTGCTGTTCACGAGCGTGAGGTTGAGCGATCACTAACCCTGCCCTCCACCTCCTCACTCCTCCCTCTCATCTTCCTCCTCGTCTCTTCCTCTGTCTCTCCACTCTGCCAGTTGTCTATCCACGTCTCGTCGCCCCTCTCTCCGTCTCGGAGGTGGAGGAGCGAAGTTGGCGCGCAGTTCAATTAATTCATTATTCGTTTATTTCCTCGTGTAACCTCCGGACGCTCCGCAGCTACTGGCGGCTTCCCGTTAGGGGATCGTCGCTGCTCGCCTCTGCAATCTGAATAATGCAGCAGGAGGGAGGGGTGGCGATTTGCATGAGGACGGCTGTTGGCAGCCGCGCGGTGGCGGCCCCACGGGCGGACGGGGCCCGCGTCCTCATTAGCCGCGGAGCGCAGGGCCAGTCGTTATTTTGTTTTTTTAGCGAACGGCCATTTGTTGCCCCGGCGACGCGTGCCTCTGGTGCCGTTTTGTCGCCGTTATCGACGTGGACGCGGAGCGGCCTCGGAGCGACGCGCGCCCCTCGTTTGGCGCGGTTGGCCACGTACGGCGCGACAGGAGTCCGACGCACGACAATGGCCAGCTCTGTCTCTGTGCACGCGACGCGCCTTGCCGCGTTCATAATGGCCGGCCACGATCTCGTGAACCCAGAGATCGCTGCTCTCTACCGTTGCCGCTCTCTACCGTTGCCGCTCTCCACTGTTGCCGCTCTCCACCGTTGCCGCTCTCCACCGTCGCGGAGTCTCCCGCCGTCGTCCTGCTTGTAGCGTCATCAGGAACTGAATTGGGTTCCCGAAGAAGCTTCTGGCACGTGGAACGGAACGTCAGACATTGTTCCAAACGACGCACGGCACGACCCGCAAACACATCGGGAGAGTCGCCAACACTTTTGGGGCATGACCCAACCCAAGCAGGTTCTTAATGGCCGACCTTCCGTGGTGTGTGCTCACCATCACACGTTACATCCGCGAGCCTATGGTCACGGTGAGACTCCCCGGTTAGTTTGTTTGCCTGCTTCACTTTGGGTCTGCGGTGGGAGACTGAAGATTTCATAGAATGTGGCTGAGCAACTCGGGGTTGCCATCATCATCATCATTGACATCACAACTATATTGTCATCATCATCACCATCGACATCCTTGATGTGTCATTATTGTCATAGCTGTGATCAACAGCACCGTCGTTGATATCCACTCGTCATTGTCGTTATCATCGTGAGTTTAGAATGCACAACACGTGCCCCCCTCACCCTCTCCCTTCACCACATCCCGTCATCACACACCTGCACAGCCACACGGCCACACACCTGCACAGCCACACAGCCACACACCTGCACAGCCACACAGCCACACACCTGCACACTCGCACACCCGCACCAACTGGGTCCCCACGCTGTCATCGCGTTGCATTTTTCTACCGGTCCGATGGAATTTTGACGCGGGTGGCACCACGTTGGAGTGGGGGGGGGGATTGGGTGGGTGGGGGTGTGTGGGGGGCTGGGTTGTTGGTGGTGGTGTGTGGGGGGGCTGGGTGGGTGGGGATGTGTGGGGGGCTGGGTGGGGCTGGGTGGGTGGGGGTGTGTGGGGGGGCTGGGTGGGTGGGGGTGTGTGGGGGTGTGTGGGGGGTGGGTGGGTGGGGGTGTGTGGGGTAACGGCAGCCGAAGCACCACGGCTAATGGCCTGGTCTGTGCCCTCCCCCCTGACCACCCCCCACCCACCCCCCACCCACCCCCTCTTCTCACCCCCCCCTTCCACCTCCCCAAGTCCCAGCTGCCCACTGCTACAAAACTTTTGTGCTGAGCTCGGGAAAAGTGATGCAGAGCGAGGAGCACGGAGCGTGGAGTGCGAAGCACTAACGCGGAGCGGGGAGTGGGGAGCGTGGAGCCGGGAGCAGTTTCGGTGCGGTTATGCAGGCAAACACTGCAGCATGGGCAAGGCGTGGTGGTGCACTGCTTGCTGCTGCTGCTGCTGCTTGGAATCCCGGCGGTCTTAATCTGGGGCAGATCACGCCGACCTTCCCTCAACCGTGGATGGCCGGGGGGGGGGGGGGTTGCTGAACCCCGCTGCTGAAAGCTCAGCTCCCCCTTCTAGAGTGTTACCGTCACGTCAAAACACGTGGGGATGGTATTGAACACGCGTAGCGGTTTCCCTTCGGCCTTCGCTCACGTGACACCCTGGTGGAGGTTGCCGTCTGTTGCTGGCCGCTTGACAGCTTCGGCCTTTGAGCATGCGCCGGGCGGGTTGATGGCGTCTCTGGGTCGCGTGGGCCACGGCGGTGAGTCGGGCGCGGCCGACGAAATCCTAACGCTCGCCCGCGCCTCCTCCCGCGGGCGCAGGCCGCTTTGCGTTCGTGCCGCTGGCCGGGAAGCCCGAGGGCTCGCGAGGGCGCCTCGCCGTGCCGCCGCTGCGCGAGAACGACACGCACTGCGTCGACTTCAGCTTCCACCTGTCGGCGGGCGGCGCCTCCTCCTCCTCCTCCTCGCCCGCGGCGCTCGCGCCAGCGCTGAACGTGTACGCCCGCGTGAACGGGCGCGCGCTGGCGGGCCCCGTGTGGAACTCGAGCCAGGCGACGGGCCGCGGCTGGGTGCGCGCCGAGATCGCCGTCAGCACCTTCTGGCCCAACAGCTACCAGGTGAGCGGCGCGCAGAGAGACATGGAAGCATCACATTGGTATGCTGCTCCCCACCTAGAGATCAAAACATAACTTTATTGATTGAGTGGAGACCCAGATACAGCATTCTGGACCTCTGTGTATCTTTTCCGACGCACAATGGCACTACTCGGCTGAAATTAAAAGTAACTCGTTAATTATGAATGAGCGGCAACCTCGTTAAGCACACACGAACGCAAGCACGTGCGCGCAAAGACAAATATCCCCCATATAGCCTTGACGGACTGTTGGGGCAAGTGCTGTCAGCGAGCACCTATGAAGACCGGTAGGTGAGTGGCCGATGCCATGACCGGCCGTCTTTGTCTCCCCAGTGCTAATGGTGCACAACACAGCAGGTACTCTGAATAATCTTAAGCATAACGAAGGCTTTGTCTTCAGATTTCCAACAGGGCAGTGAGTGGAGTGAGTAGTCGTGTTTGTTGCATCCGTTATTTAACCCAGTGGCGAAATAGACCCGTAGAGATGCGTGTGGTGGCTCCCGCGCCTTGCAGCGGAAGTCCCTGGGTTCGATTCCCCATCCGGGGACGCCTTTCTGTGCGGAGTTCACGTGTTCTCGCCCTGTTCGCTATGGGTTCTCTCCGGGTTTTGCGAGTTTCCCCTCGGCCACTGGCAGACCAGTGCCCATCGCCGAGCCAGGCGCCGGGCACCTGGTGGCTGCACAGGGACAGCTGCCGATCGGGGCTCCACGCTATGAGACGTTCCCTTACACGGTGGAGCGTAGCCTCCCGTGACCCCCAATTGTGACCTCCCATGACCCCACTCGTGACCTCGCGTGACCTCCGCCCATGACCTCCGCCCGTGACCTCCGCCCGTGACCTCCTCCCCTGACCTCCGCCCGTGACTTCCGCCCGTGACCTCCGCCCTTGACCTCCGTCTCGTTGCAGGTGGTGTTTGAGGCGGTGGCGGGGAGCAGTGGCGCCGGCTTCGTTGCCGTGGACGACGTGCAGGTGCTCAGCTACCCCTGCAGTGAGTCTCCACTCCTCCTCTGCTGCTCCCACTGTCTGGATGCCCCTTCCCCCCCCCCCCCAGCCATCCGTGCGGCCGACTCCCTGCCCCCTATTCAAGTCCAGGCTCAAGTCCCTTCCTTTTCCCCATTTGCCTGCAACTGACTGCCCCTCTCTCTCCATTCCCATCGAGTAGGAGAGCCATAGGTGAGACTAGAGCTGATGGTGTGGGTGAGTGAGTGTACAGTTGATCTGTGTTTGAATCTGCGCGTGTGTCTGCGTGTGTCTCCATGTGTGTGTCTACGTGTATGTCTGCGTGTGTGTGTGTCTTTGTGTGTGTGTGGCCTCAATGTGCACATAGCCTGGCACAAGCATCGTGGTGATGTCACCGCCACTTAGTGGTGAATGGCGGTTGTTGTGTGTGTGTGTGTGTCCACCTGTACGCATCGACTCTGAGTGCTCACGCACGCACGCAAACGCGCCCGCAGTTTTGACGACACCTGGGCTCGCCTATCCGTGAATTCAAAATTATCTCAGATTTTTCGCCACTCGCAAAAACGTTTCACACTTAGGAGATAATTGCGCGAGGCGTCAGCTGCTGCGTCGGCGGCAGCGGCGTTCGGATTGAGCGCTCGCTCCGCGCTCGCTCGGCTCAGAGCGATTGCGGAGCGAGCTCCGTCTGTCACGCTCGCTTCTCCATCGGCACTCGGCGCTAACGAGCGGGAGAAAGTGACGCGGGATTTAGCCGAGAAATATTTAACGATGGCCCCCACCAATAAACACCCCCCCCCCCATAAAAACAAACTCGATGCGCCCACAAATTAATGGAGCATCGCCCACCCATGACGGCGGCGGCGGTGGCGCTCCTCACCGACGCTCGCTCACTCGCTCGCTCGTGTGCAGCGCTGCCACGGTGACTACGACGGTGACACGGTGCGGGGAGCCGCTCTTCCACCACCCCCCAGCCCTTGCTCAGCTGCGACGTCGTGTCTCTGTGTGCAGTGCATCTCTGTGTGTCTCTGTGTGTGTGTCGTGTGTGGCTATGGAGACAAAGGCGGCCGGGCGTGGTCCTGGCCACCCACCCCCTCCTGTGCCATGCCGGCCTTCATCGGTGCTCATGAATAGCAGTTGCCTCAACAGTTTGTTAAGGGCTACGAGCGGATTTTTGTTTCTCTGTGTATAAAGTGTGTGTCTGTGTGTAGTGTGTGTGTGTAGTGTGTGTGTCTGTATCTGTGTGTAGTGTGTGTCTGTGTGGGTAGTGCGTTTCTTTGTGTATTGTGTGTATGTGTTTGTAGTCTGTGTGTGTCTGTATCTGTGTGTAAAGTGTGTGTGTGTGTCTATGTGTAATCTCTCCGTATAGTGCGCGTCCCTCTGTGTACATTACTAGGCGCTCGCTAGCAGCACTTGCCCCAAAAGCATGTGTAGGCTACACAGGGGACCTTTGTCTTTGTGCATGTTTGCACCGGTCTTCACTCGCAGCCACAAACTGCGATCTTGGAACTGGGATTTTCCAAGAACACGATTCCATGACACAATCACCCAGTGAATGTCATAACTTATATTTCTTGTTCCCCCTTTGGGTTCCTTCCCATCCCTCTCGCTCGCTCTCTCTCTGCCCCTCTCGCTCACTCGCTAGCTCGGACAGCTGGTTTCATTTCGTCTAATTAATTCAAATTGCGTGGACCTTCGCCAGCAGTCCGAGCCAGCGCCTCGCTGAAACGCAAGCCGTGTTTCTCTCCAACGCCGAGACACAAGCCATGTTCCTCTCTAACGTTGTCTGGAGGTTGTGGCCGCTGCCCTGTAGGGGTGGTGGTGGTGATTGTGCCACTGCGTGGTAGTGGTGGTGGTTGTGTTGCTGTGTGGTGGTTGTGGTGGCAAGAGGCACCAAGGTAACGTCGGGTGAGGAATTCCCACAATGAGAATAATTATTATAATCAGATTACAATAACGTTGATGATTACATCGATGATGTGACAATGATAAAAATTATGGTTATTATAATGACCCTGATGACAACGATGATGATGGCCCTTCCATAGGACACAGAAGGCCGGGTGAAGGCCCTGCCATATGACATGGAAGGCCGAGCGATGGCCTTGCCATAGGACAGAGAAGGCCGCGCAAAGGCCCCGAGACTTCCGCCTTCTCCCGTTAAATCGGCATCACCGCTCTACCCTGACCCCCGGGGCGGCGTGATGGACAGATATTGCAGGCTCCACGCCGGTGATTTACGCCGTGGTAAAAAAAAAAACTTCCATTTTTGTCAGAAAATCCGTGCGTCTCTCAAAGGGAGGTGATGGAGGGCGGCACGGAAGCCATTTCGCTTTGTTCCCCGAGTCAGGACTCCCCGGGTGTGGGCGCAGCAATAAAACAAAAATAAATTCACGCGGATCGCGCTTTTAAAGCAAATGGCTCGGCGCCGTGACCAGAATTATTGCCGCCTGCCCGCCCGCCCGCCGGTTTTTTTCCAGCGAATGTGCCAAAACCTTGCGGCTGCCCACACCCTGCCGTGTTAACGAAGAAAACGGAACGAAAAAGTGAAAAGTGTGCGTAAAGACGCGGGCGGGTATGCGCACGTTGGCCCTACGTGGCGAGACAAACAAAGGAAGACGCGGAACGGAGAGAGGGTGGGTGGGCAAGACGGACGTCGTGTTGACCGTTACGGAAGGCTGGGGCAGGACACGGGCTCGACTTGAACGGTTGATGGCCGGTGGTCGAGACTAAAGAAAGCATCCTTGAGGACGCCACCGCGGAGACGGAGCGACTGAGTTGCCAGGTGGATCGTTACAACGCATGACCGTGAACCATGGCGACGGCTTGAGGGAGGCCCTCATCCAGCAGTGGATAGATCGTGGCTGATGATGATCACAAATCTATAACTCTTGCCCCCCCCCCCCCCCCCCAGACAAGGCCCCCCACTTCCTGCGGTTGGGGAACGTGGAGGTGAATGCGGGGCAGAACGCGACGTTCCAGTGCATCGCGACCGGCCGGAACTCGGGCCCCACACGCCTCGCGCTGCAGGTGAGAGCTCCACTCCCCTCTCTCTCGTCGCCGCCGTTGGCTCGCTCGCACGGCAAAGCCGGCCCCCTGCCGCGGGGGGGTGCGGGGGGGGGGGTGCGGGGGGGTGCGGGGGGGGTGCGGGGGGGGTGCGGGGGGGGGTGCGGGGGGGTGCTGGGGGGGTGGGGGGGGGGGGGGGGTGGGGGGGTGAGGGGGGGGGGGGGGGGGTGAGGGGGGGTGCGGGGGGTGAGGGGGGTGAGGGGGGGTGGGGGGGTGGGGGGGGTGCGGGGGGGTGGGGGGGGGGGGGGGTGGGGGGGTGAGGGGGGGGCGGGGGGGTGGGGGGGGGTGGGGGGGGTGGGGGGGGGAGGGGGGGTGGGGGGGGCGGGGGGGTGAGGGGGGGGGGGGGGGGGGGGTGAGGGGGGTGCGGGGGGGTGCGGGGGGGTGCGGGGGGGGGCGGGGGGGTGCGGGGGGGTGGGGGGGAGGGGGGGTGCGGGGGGGTGAGGGGGGGTGGGGGGGGTGGGGGGGGCGAGGGGGGGTGCGGGGGGGGGGGGGGTGCGGGGGGTGGGGGGGGGGTGCGGGGGGGTGCGGGGGGTGCGGGGGGTGCGGGGGGGGGGGGGGGTGGGGGGGTGAGGGGGGGGCGGGGGGGTGGGGGGGTGGGGGGGGTGCGGGGGTGGGGGGGGTGCGGGGGGTGCGGGGGGGTGCGGGGGGGTGCGGGGGGGTGCGGGGGGGTGCGGGGGGGTGCGGGGGGGTGCGGGGGGGTGCGGGGGGGTGCGGGGGGGTGCGGGGGGGTGCGGGGGGGTGCGGGGGGGTGCGGGGGGGTGCGGGGGGGTGCGGGGGGGTGCGGGGGGTGCGGGGGGGGTGCGGGGGGGTGCGGGGGGGTGCGGGGGGGTGCGGGGGGTGCGGGGGGTGGGGGTGGCGGGGGGTGCGGGGGGGTGAGGGGGGGGTGCGGGGGGTGCGGGGGGGGTGCGGGGGGGTGCGGGGGGGTGCGGGGGGGTGCGGGGGGGTGCGGGGGGGTGCGGGGGGGGTGCGGGGGGGTGCGGGGGGGTGCGGGGGGGTGCGGGGGGGTGCGGGGGGGGGGGGGTGCGGGGGGGTGCGGGGGGGTGCGGGGGGGTGCGGGGGGGTGCGGGGGGGTGCGGGGGGGTGCGGGGGGGTGCGGTGGGGGTGCGGGGGGGTGCGGGGGGGTGCGGGGGGGTGCGGGGGGGTGCGGGGGGGTGCGGGGGGGTGCGGGGGGGGTGCGGGGGGGTGCGGGGGGGTGCGGGGGGGTGCGGGGGGGTGCGGGGGGGTGCGGGGGGTGTGCGGGGGGGTGCGGGGGGGTGCGGGTGGGGTGCGGGGGGGTGCGGCCGGGGGTGCGGGGGGCTTGGTGCGGGGGGTGCGGGGGGGGTGCGGGGGGGTGCGGGGGGGGTGCGGGGGGGTGCGGGGGGGTGCGGGGGGTGCGGGGGGGTGCGGGGGGGGTGCGGGGGGGTGCGGGGGGGTGCGGGGGGGTGCGGGGGGGTGCGGGGGGGTGAGGGGGGGTGCGGGGGGGTGCGGGGGGGTGCGGGGGGGTGCGGGGGGAGTGCGGGGGGTGCGGGGGGGGTGCGGGGGGGTGCGGTGGGGGGCAGTGCGGGGGGTGCGGGGGGTGGCGGGGGGGTGCGGGGGGGGTGCGGGGGGGGTGCGGGGGGGTGCGGGGGGGTGCGGGGGGGTGCGGGGGGTGCGGGGGGGTGCGGGGGGGGTGCGGGGGGGGCGGGGGGGGTGCGGGGGAGGTGCGGGGGGGTGCGGGGGGGGGTGCGGGGGGGTGCGGGGGGGTGCGGGGGGGTGCGGGGGGGTGCGGGGGGGTGCGGGGGGGTGCGACACTTCCCCTGGGCTGTGGGGGCGTTTTTGGTTCCATCATTTAATTTTATTTAGTTTCTTTAATCCATATATTTACACACAAATGTTATTTTGCATGTTTCTCTGCACCCGCCTCTCAACTACCTCGTCACTATGCCACGCTACACGGAACTTTTACGACTTTGTATAAACAGTCAAATCTTGCTTATTTAGGGCAAAGGCTGACAAGGGGAGGGAGCGCCAGATGAAATTAAACCACGAATTGCGCCCTTGCGGACATTTGCCTGACCGTAGCAGCGTGCTCGGGGTTCACGCGATCTCCTCTTGTTTTATAATCCCCTCCGTACACCGCGTCCGCAGACCCCTCGACGAGTGAGGAGCAGCCCGGAGTCAGGCCGCAGTGCGAGCACGCAGGCGCTCGCTTCGTTCGCGAGCTCGTTTCATTGGCACCCCGGATCGTCCGCGCAGAAGCGGCGGTTAAATTGCATTGTACCGTATTGTACCGTATTGTACCGTATTGTACCGTATTGTATTGTACCGTATTGTACCGTATTGTACCATATTGTATTGTACCGTATTGTATTGTGCGGCTCTCTGCCGCGTGTTGCTGTTAAGTGAGCTGTCCGACGTTTTTCTCTGCATGCCGGGATGGGGCTTCTTCAGGAACTGAACAACGAACAGAAGCTCAGTTGAGTTCCTGTAAAAGCTCCCAGAATGTGGAGTGAAACGTCAGACATCACGCCCAACGACACGAGCGCAACCCAAACCGGGGGGGTGTGGGGGGGGAGCTCACTACATTTGCCTCCAAACTGAATTCCCGTCGAATGTGCGTGGTTTTCTCTGCTTTGTTATTTCCCGAGGCGGCTGTCTGAAGCGGCTTTGCTGCGATGACTCCCCTCTTTCTCATCCCCCTTCAGGACCACTTCGAGCGAAGCCGCCCGGGCAGACCGTCGCGGCGTAAACTCGCGGCGCGATCCTGCGTAACGCCGCCTTGATTTCCTTAATTGGGTTTGGAGTTTGTTGTGATTGATTTCCTCGGGCCCTCCCCATCGGGCGGAGAGAGAGATAATCTAATGCCGGCGGAGGCCGTGTCTCCCGGCGAGCGGCGAAAATGAGATTACGCGGACGGCGCCGCCGCCACGGAGACGTGCGGGAGAAGTGCGGGAGACGCGGAGAGCTCGATCGAGTTCGAGACGAGAACAGCGTCGTCATCGTCAGTGGCAGCAGTGTCATCATCATCATCATCACGAGTGCCGTCATCGGCATCATTAGCAGTGGCATTACATCACTGTCATCAATTAAATAATCAGCATTGACATTCTCATCATAATTCGTGTTATTGTCGTCAGTAGTGCAGTGGCATTATCAGCGTCTTTATTATCAGCAGCAGCAGCACCATCATGAGTCCGCGGCAGCTTTGGCAGAAAGAATGTGCGCCGCATCTCACACCGATCACAGGGTCTCATCGTCGTCATCAGCCAGGATCATTCTGCTGCTGGGTGAAAGCCTCCCAATGGTGTCGCCTTCAATCGCGGTTCCGCAGAGCAACGATCCGGCCAGCACCTTCAGCCGGTGTCGTGTCTCCATGTCTCGGCTGCCGCTCCGCGTTTAGTTTCGACCACGCGGCGTCGTCCCTCCTCGCCATGGCGAATCCCGGCCCAAGCCAGGCCTGGCTCTGTCACAGCCCTGCCTCTGACTGTGCAAGTCGTCACGCGCTGCAGTAACAATGGAGTCACCGCTGTAACTTCAGGTGCAAATGCTGCTGCTGTAATTATAATTGGCGGTGGCCGCTTGGGTGAGACCCTTCATCCGGCAGTGGATTGATCGTGGTTGACGATAATCATTTGTAACCGTAACCACCGATGGCATGCGTGTCCCAAGCCCAGCTAACGTCCCTTGATTGTTTCCCGAGAGAATCCCACGCAAGGCAATTAGATCTCGCGCGAGATGGCCATGCAGCGCCGATCACCCGTCTCCCGGGCGAGGAAAGTGAACGCATTCAGACGGCGGCGTCGAGAAAGCGGGAAGCGAGGAGCGAGCAGGCCGAGCGTCACCTCCGCATCTTCACCTGCCAATTAATGGCTGTGGATGAAAGGCGAAATTCCCGGAAAAGGAGATGCGATCGACAGAGACGCCGGGCCCCACTCGAAGCCACTAATTGCGCGATCGACCCACTTAAAGGACACTTGCGCCTCACAAGTTTATTTTGAATGCCACTCGCAATCAATCCTCTACCCCCCCCCCCCTTCACAAATTACGAAAAACAAACAAAAGGAAACTGGTGAAGGGGTGCCGAGGGGATGGCCAGGAGTGGGGACTGCTCAGCGCACCGCCGTGTCCTGTCGCGGACTGTCAGTGCTGCCGAGTCGAGGCACGTGGGGCCTGCCGCGTGTGCTCTGTGGCCACGCCAGCACTCGTCGTCGTGATTGCGTGGCATTATGAACGAACATCATGATGACGAGGATGATGATGATGATGATGAGTGCCACCTTGCTGCGCGAGAAGGCAGTCTACTTATGGGAGGGTAAACAGTTGACCCTTTGTGTTTGTGTTTAAGGGGATTCTAAAAGCGTTGTACTGGAGCAGTACAACACCGTTATGTTACTGCAATTCATGTGTGTGTGTTACTACGACTCGTGTGTGTGTGTCTCTTCAGCACGAGTGTTTTTGTGCCATCAGAGTGAATGCGGCTTTGATTGCGCTCTCCGTGTGAAGTCGAGGTTAAACTCAAAACCCTCGGCCACTTTCGTTTGGGAAACGAAAGTGTTAAACGCCGCCCGAGTCTGCGTCCCTGCGTCACGCTCCTCCACATCATACAACACGAAATCCCTCTCCGCACAACTGTTCTCTCTCTCTCGCTCGCTTGCTCGCCCACCCGCTCGCTCGTACACTCACCCACTTCCTCTCTCTCACCCGCTCGCTCGCTCACACGCTCGCCCACTTGCAGGAGCTGCGGGCGTGGCGGTGCCGCTGGGTCCCGATCCCGGTGCGCAATGGCGCGGCCGTCAATTGCGGCGTTATTCCGAGCGTGCTCGTAATCCGCCCCATGTCAGAGTTCTATTTCCGACGTGGACTGAAGATGCGAGTGGGGCCCGGAGTCCGACGCTGGGAGTAGAGTTGGAGAGCATTGATCGCGGTCGATGGAAGTGCTCCACGGCGTCGCGTGCGTTGGCCACGGTGTGTTAGTGCCGCCGCAACGCCAGTTTCCAGCTGCTCCGTGGAGCGAAGGAGGAAGGAGAAATGTGCATTGCGTACCGTGGGTTCTCTGACGCTCGCCAGCGCGTGGTTGTCCACGGGGTGCCGTGCACCAGGGGCCGTGCAGGGCTCACTCCGCTACGCCGGTCGGGGCGGGATGGCGGAGTTCACCGAGCGGCGGCTCTGGCGAGGAGGGTGCCAGAAACCCTTAAAGTCATTTGGCCAAATTACACGAGACCACGTAACCCCCCACTCCCTGCTGTGAGAGAGAGATAATGCTCTCAGACGAAGTTGGAAAGTCCGCTGCTCGCGAGTGACATTTTACAATATCACGCTCTTTTGGTTGAATGGAAGATCGCTGCTGGGAGGTCATTCATCCCTCCTGCCCCCCCCCACCCCCTCCCCCCCCCAGACACGCGTGCTGTCTGCTCCCTGCTTCTGTAAAACATCTGTTAGACGCAATCGCATTTAAACATCACTTTATAAATCCACATTTTATTGGAATGTTCATACTCACAGAGACCCATAGACTTACACAGAGACTGATGCCAGACTGCCTCTCTCTACAAAACAGCTGTGCCCACTGATTCTATGGGTCGATTGAATTTGCACGCAATAGTCATGCACATTGTTTTATTTCATCGCCTGTGCTCTCGCCTGGCCGAGTTTACATTATTCTCTTTCATTAACCAGGATTCCTAATCTTGTCCCAAGGCCAGAAGGCAGCCTGGCCGTGGAGCTACATGATAAGAGCCGATTGCCCTGTGAGTTTTGTGGGTGAAATCGTGGCGGGCGGTGGGCAGTGGGCGTGGCGCTCTGCGGGCACCTGCCCAGGGGTCTGCGTTGGCACCCTCAATTTTAGTTTGTGGCCCACTTTTGTGGCCGCGTTTGGGAAAGTCCGCTGGGTGACTCCTCATTCGCTGGGTGACTCCACGTCCGCTGGGTGATTCCTCATTCTCTGGGTGACTCCACGTCCGCTGGAGGAATGAGCACCAGCAGCACCGGTACCAAACCTATTCCCATCACGACAACCACCACCGATATCCACCATCGCCACTAAGTGACGGTGATGTCACCACGGTGCCTGTGCCTAGACCACCATCACCACCACTACCGTGGCCACCGCTACAACCACCACGATCACACCGCCTCCACCACTTTCGTCAACATCATCACCACCACCATCACCACCATCACAACGACCATGCACGTTGCCACCGCTGCCACCACCACCATCACCAACACCATCACCACCACCATCACCACCACCACAAGCACGCACAAGGCCCAGCTTGGTAATGCGTGGGGCAGCGACGGTGGCACTTGCATCGGACCTGGTCTCGTCTGGCCGCTGTGATGAGTTATTCATGTTCTGAGGCCCCACCGTTTGCCCCGGTCTGGGCGAGGGGGTGGGCATGCACAGCCCCCCTCCACCCGTCCAGCCCTTGACCCCCTCCTTCCTGTCTACATCACTTGGAATGTTTCCTTCTCCCCGGCAATTTTGAAAAAAAATCAAAATGAAACCGGGTGCACTGGAGCACGTTCACAGGACCGTCCCCACAGCTCCCTTGACATAAAAACGGGCATTGAAGATTAAAGATTCAAAGTGACGCTGAGAGCGCTTTAAGAAGCTTCCCCTGCAGGAGACGCAGTGTCCGTGCCGCCGTGAGCAAGGACGGACACGGCAGCGCCCCGCGAGCCGCATCTTCTCCATCGCCAGCACCCACTCTGCCCACGGCACCGCGCTCTGCCATCACTCTTCAGCATCAAACTCCGACATCACACTCCGACATCACACTCCGACATCACACTCCGACACCGCTCTTCAGCACCATCCGACACATGGCGCCACGTCCCCACCAGTTGGGTAGTGGCCTTCCACATCAAGACTCCAATAGAGACCCCATAGAGACCCACAGATTCCCATAGAGACCCACAGATTCCCATAGAGACCCACAGACTCGCATAGAGACCCACAGACTCGGATAGAGACCCACAGATTCCCATCGAGACCCACAGACTCGCATAGAGACCCACAGACTCAGATAGAGACCCACAGACTCCCATCGAGACCCACAAACTCGCGTAGAGACCCACAAACTAGCCATTAACACATCGACGATGGTGCGAGATGAGCCGCTTGTCACGATGGGCTGCCACGTGCTCGTAAGACTCACGTGGGTGTGTGTGGTCTCCATTGGTGCTCGCTAACAGCACTTCCCCCGAAAGTCTGTTGAGACTCTTCGGCGGATCGCGGCCTTTGTGAGTGTGTGGAGTGGTTAGTTGCGTGTGTGTGGAGCGGTAGTTGCGTGTGTGTGGAGGGGTAGTTGCGTGTGTGTGGAGGGGTAGTTGTGTGTGTGTGGAGGGGTAGTTGCGTGTGTGTGGAGCGGTAGTTGTGTGTGTGTGTGAAGCGGTAGTTGTGAGTGTGTGGAGGGGTAGTTGTGTGTGTGTGGAGCGGTAGTTGTGTGTGTGTGGAGGGGTAGTTGTGTGTGTGTGTGGAGGGGTAGTTGTGTGTGTGTGTGGAGGGGTAGTTGTGAGTGTGTGGAGGGGTAGTTGTGTGTGTGTGAAGCGGTAGTTGTGAGTGTGTGGAGGGGTAGTTGTGAGTGTGTGGAGGGGTAGTTGCGTGTGTGTGGAGCGGTAGTTGTGAGTGTGTGGAGGGGTAGTTGTGTGTGTGTGTGTGGAGCGGTAGTTGTGAGTGTGTGGAGCGGTAGTTGCGTGTGTGTGAAGCGGTAGTTGTGAGTGTGTGGAGGGGTAGTTGTGTGTGTGTGAAGCGGTAGTTGTGAGTGTGTGGAGGGGTAGTTGTGAGTGTGTGGAGGGGTAGTTGTGTGTGTGTGTGGAGGGGTAGTTGTGTGTGTGTGTGGAGGGGTAGTTGTGAGTGTGTGGAGGGGTAGTTGTGTGTGTGTGTGGAGGGGTAGTTGTGTGTGTGTGTGGAGCGGTAGTTCTGTGTGTGTGGAGCGGTAGTGCAGTGCTGAGCGTGATGCGCTACGAACCCGGCGACCCGAGTTCGATTTCCGCTCACAGCACCAACACCAGTGACGATTATCTGAACCAGTCCTGGGCCTCCCCTAAGTAGATTCAGCCTCAAATTAGTACCCGGTGCGGTGCACAAACATCGTCACAAAGGAGACAAAGGCGGCCGGGCGTGGTGCTGGCCCACCCGCCGCCTCATACGCAGTGTCGGCCTCGTAGGTGCTGCTCGTTAACAGCACTTGCCCCAAAAGTCAGTTAAGGCTATAGGGGGGATCTCTGTCTTTGTTTGCGTGGGAGGGTGTGTTTAAAGGCATCCATGCAGAGGAGAGTCGAGTCACTTTGTGCTCTGCGCTCCGTATCCAGCCGCCTGGGTTTGATTAATCTCCACAGCCAACATCAGTGGCGAATAATATCTGAACCGCTTCTGAGCCTATCCTAGATCGACTCGGCTTCATTGGGTGCCTAGTATGGTCTCTAATCACAAGCAATGGGGAGACAAAGGCGGTGTTGTTTCTGGCCACATCACCCCCTGGTACACCTTGCTGCCCTTAATAGGCGCTTACGGGTAGAGCATCACCAGCGGTGTGTGCGGATGGCTACGTGGGGTCTCTGTGTGTGAGGGAACACGGGTGCAGGGGTTAGCGCGCACACCTGAGACATTGGTGCGTGACGCTCACACCTGAGACGATGGTGTGGGAGGGTGCGTGTGTGCGACGTGCAGACTGGTCGTACAGAGCAATTAGTACGCCGAAACCCGGCGACTCGAGTGTGTCGCCCTGCGAGCGCCGCGTCACCCTGCGAGTGCGTCGTAGCTGTGCCGTGCACAGCTCTTCGCTGTGTGTTTGGGCTATACCTCGCCTTGTTTGGCATGACGTCCGACGTTTTAGTCTGGCCCCCAAACAAACTAAAATAAAATAAATCGATCCCTCCCTTCTTCCACCTCTGTCACTGTCCCTTACCGGTCTCATCCCGACCTTCCACGTCACCCCCCTGAACCCATGCCCCCCACCCTGCCCCCCCCCCAACTCCCGTCCCGCAGCGCAGTAACGGCGAGGACGTTCCCATAACGAGCACCAAGATGGTGAACCACCGCCGCTTCTCCGCCTCCTTCGACATCCGCCGCGCACGCAAGCGCGACGCCGACAAGTACCGCTGCGTGGTGCGCTCTCCCGACGGATCCGGGGTCTCCAACTTCGCCGAACTCTTCGTCAAAGGTGCGGCGCCGTTGGGGGGGTAGGGGCGAGTGCCAGGGGTGGGGGGGTTGGGGTTGGAGGGGAGCTTGCGGGGCGGAGATGGAGCGACGAGAGAGATCGGCTCTCGGTGGAATGTTGCATCGTGAAGCCGGCAGGGGGTGGCGGCTTTGGGGGCCATCGGACGGATCGCCGGTGACGAAGTCCGTTCGCGGAGCGACGTCGTACGACCGGACTATGCACGGGTTTTGGTATCCAGGAGACCGGCAGGAGAGAGGAGCCGGCAGGAGGGCTGGGTAGTGCCGGGGGTGGCCATTGATCGGTGGGTGTGGAGATTGGTAGGTGCAGTTCGCGTAGTTTTGCGTGGACAGCTCGTTGTGCGATTTGTCTGAAGAGATGCAAGGGATGAGTGTCTAGCGGTCGGCGGGTAGACGGCGGCTGGCTGCACCGTGGCGCCCGTGGCACGCGCCAAGCGCGCCACCCGCGCGCCTGGTGGCTGCGGGTAAATACGAGGAAGCTGGCGCACGCGGGCGGGCGGGCGGGCGGGCGGGGGTCTGCGTTGAGTCGCGCCCATCTGCCGACGCCCCCTATCCTCCCCCGGCAGCCTCCTGCTCCTGCTCGGCGCTGGCATTTCAGGAGGGAGCCAATTACAGGCGGCTTTCATGACATAATTACGGCTGGCATCTGACATTTGGAAAGTAAAGATGCCACATGCCTGCGTCGTTGTAAAAAAAATTATTTGTTGCTGTTTTTGTGTTTACTTTCTACCGTTTAAATGTGTTCACAAAAATATATATTAATATTTCTTGTCCTTGTATTCTCAGCGCAACTTTTGAATGAGATTAAGAGGCAATTTCGCGAATGTCCTTTCAACTCGGCGTGTTTGTTTCTCACAATCAAGTACATTGCAACTGGTAAACAGCGTTGTAGACGTGACTCATCGCGCTCCAATGCCAGGCACACTACACCATACCGACCGGTCACACCACACCAGCCATACCATGCATCACACACCAGGCACACCGCACTGCACGTCTCGCACCCATCGCGTGTTCGCTGATGACAGGGACACAGAGACGGTTGATGTTGTTTATGTTACACGCGCGTGCGTGAGTGCGTATTCTTGTGCGGGGAGTAGTTTTCCTGAAAGTGGCATGTGGTCCGTAACCACGGCCAATCCTGCCGATCGCCGTGCGTGAGGCCGGCGGCGAGACCTGCGCGAGGGCAGCAGCCAAAGGGCGGAACCCGCCCAGGGAGGATGACCGCCGCGGAGATGGAGCGACGAGATCAGGGAGCCAGCGTCGCGAGATTGTGAGGGAGAGAATGGCGACGGCCTCGGGAGAGGACTTCATCCGACAGCGGATAGATCCTGACAGTCGGGGGGTAGTGGCGGTTTGGGGTGGTTGTGGAGGGGGGGGGGGGGTTGGTCCACATTGTGGCCACCGCCACCACAATTACTGCCAGCGGCCATTACCGTTATCGTTAGTGGAGCGGCACGAGTTGACAAAACCACTCGCTTGGGATCGCTGCGGAGAGCCCCGGAGCAGATGTCCTGTCCCACGATCCCCTTCCCACGGCCCCGTCCCACAGCCTCGTCCCACAGCCCCATCCCGCAGCCCTGTCCCACGGCCCTGTCTCACGGCCCTGTCCCACGGCCCTGTCCCACGGCCCCATCCCGCGGCCCTGTCCCACGGCCCTGTCCCACGGCCCTGTCCCGCGGCCCCGTCCCACGGCCCCGTCCCGCGGCCCTGTCCCACGGCCCTGTCCCACGGCCCTGTCCCACGGCCCTGTCCCACGGCCCCATCCCGCGGCCCTGTCCCACGGCCCTGTCCCACGGCTCCATCCCGCTGCCTTATCCTTGTCCCACGGCCCCGTCCCGCTTCGTCGCAGGGCTGCTGTGGCATCTGAGGGCGCGCGAGTGAGGGACGGAGATGCCCCATTGGCTCTAATCGCCGTGGCAGTGGGGCCACCGGCTGTCTCGTGCCAGCGCGCGATCGTGATAGTTGGTGGTAGCGATCGGAGGGCAACGTCGGACCATTGTACCAAACGACGCAAGGCACGACCCGGATCAAATCAGTGGGATCACATCGACATCAGTGGGATCACATTAGTGGAATCGGATGGGATGGGGGAGCTTGAGCTACGGACCTGCCCTGCGGCAGAGATGATAATGATGTTTGCGTGGGAGAAACAGTCGCTTGAAGGGGTTAACGAATCGGCAATGCAAGGGAGCACACATTTTTTCGCGGAATAGAAAATCAGCGAATTAGATTTTGTGGCGGCGGCGGCAGCGGCAGCCAGATTAACGAGCACCTGCTAAGCCCTGATTCTGCTCGGTTCCAGGAACGCAACTAACGGCCTCCTGGCTTATCGTCACCGCGTCGGTGCTTTTACCCGCAAAGCGCGGCGCGAGCGTTGGAGCGGAGCGCCAGGGGAGAGACAGAATGGATTGTGTGGCGGCGTTGACGGTGGACGACGGGTCTCGGTCGAGACTAACGACGGAGCGCCAGCCAAAGCAGGGAATTTCTCTGAGTGGGCACCCCCCCCCCCCCCCCGGCGGTTGTGTCGATGAGATTGACCCTTCGTAGATGACTTCATCCAGCAGTGGCTCGACCCGGGCTGATGATAATGATGATGAAGGTGTCTCGAATAGCAACACAACATTACATTATACGATTGGATGGTCAGGCGGATAGAACGAATGGAATTGATGTCTCTCCTGTGGATGGAATGCGTTAAAAATGAATTGGCCGTGTATCCCAATGCAGGACACTGCCAATAATGGCCAAATGTAATTGCCTTAATCTCACCACGTGAAAAATTATACAAATTACATTCACAGAACCACGTGCATTTACCATCACTGTTGTATGTCTATATGTTAAACTTATTTTACACCGTACATAGCCAACCATGCTATGTGCGGTTGACATTGAGAGGTGAAGGCACAGCCCTGCAATTTCTCGCTCATGCCCCAACCGCCAGAAGGGCCTCCACTCGAGGGCGCTCTGGAGAGCAGGGCAAGGGGTGCTGTCGGCCTTCTCGTTCACATGACTCGGAAGAACATGTGGGAGTTGCCTACCCACACGCGATCTGCCGATTGACTGAATGCAGCGATCCCATTGGATACTGCTCTGTGGAGAGGGGCGGTGGGGGACGAGGGATTCAAGATGCGTTCCCCGTTCCTTTGAACCAGCGCTGACCATCGCAGCCCAGCAGCAGCAGCAGGCCCTCTGTAAAACACCGTGAACTCGAGGTTAATCTTTGTTCTCTCCGCTGTGCTCCCCACGCGTGCGGGCTCTGCCTTGCTACTCTGATTTCTCCACGCACTCTGTCCTGGGCCATCATCTCCACGTCCACTCCACGGGGGAGGGGATGGGGGGGCGGATTTCAGAAACCTGCTGCACCATTATTTGAACCAACGTGCCGGGAGACGAAATCGAACCGGCGACCCCTGGATTGCCAGTGCGGCGCACGCTGATAGCCGTTACGCCACAGCAGCAGCAGCAGCCCTGCTCTTTGTTGTTGTTGTTCTTATTATCATGAAAATAAAAAATACAATCTGGGGAAACAGAGGCGGAGGCGGTGGAGGCGCTTGGGAAACGAGGCGCTCTGCCGGGTGCGGCGATGCTCGCTGCGTGCAGCCGCCGCTCGCTCGCCGCGCCACTGTGATTTATTGGAAAGCGTTTTTTGCGTTCATTAGGCGGCCGCTATTGACCCGCGCAGTACGCAGCGCGGGCTCCCTGACTCGCACGCACGCACGGTGCCCCCGCCAGCAAACAACAACAACAACAACGGATCTCCTGTTATCAGTCATTGCTCAATGTGCACAGAGTGAGAGCGTGTGTAGGGGTGTGTAGGGGCGTGGTGCTGTCCACCCACGCCCTCGTGCGCCGTGCCGGCCTTCGTAGGTGCTGCTCGCTAACAGCACTTGCCCCAACAGTCCGTTGAGGCTAAACGGGTTGTATTTGTATTTGTACATAAGTGTGCGTCTAAGCGTGTGTAAGTGTGCGTGGGCAAGTGCGTGCGTGAGCAGGTTTGCGTGTAACTTGACTGTCACGGGGAACGCGTTTGGGCTGCGTGGCGTGAGGGCGAGCGACGCTCATGCGCGCCTCTCCCGTGTCGCGCAGAGCCGCCGGCGCCGGTGGCCCCGCCGCAGCTGCTGGGCGTGGGAGCGACATATCTGTGGATTGCACTCAACGCCAACTCCATCCTGGGAGACGGCCCCATCGTCGTCAAGGAGGTGGTCACCGCACGGAGACACCGCCACCACTACCACCACTACTACCACCAACAACACTGAAACCACTACCACCAATGCTGAAACCACCAACACCAGCACCACTACGACCACGACTTCCACCACCACAATCAACAACACCAACATTAATACCAACAACCCCTCAGTCTAATCCTGAGCAACAATATGAGTTCACATTAGGCTTACCCCGAACCCTAAGCGCACTAGCCACCAGACACTAGCCCTGACCCGAACCCCACTAGCCCTGACCCTAACCCCACTAGCCCTGACCCTAACTCTACTAGCCCTGACCCGAACGCCACTAGCCCTTACCCTATAAAGAGATGAACACCGAGTCACGCTGGACGGCACCACACCAGCTGCGCCACCCATCGCTCGGCCGCTGCGGTCCCCGCCTCACCTCGCTTTGCCCCCTCTACTGCACTCTCTGACCCCGTGACCTGGTGTCCCCCAGGTGGAGTACCGCATGCCGCAGGGCGCGTGGGCGGAGATCCACCCGGTGGACACGGCGACGTACAAGCTGTGGCAGCTGGACCCCGACACGCACTACGAGGTGCGCGTGCGGCTCACGCGGCCCGGAGAGGGCGGCGCCGGCCGCCCCGGGCCCCCCCTCATCGCCCGCACCAAGTGCGCAGGTGAGGACGACGCGGTGCCCCCCCCCCCGCCCCCGCTTACCACTGCCGCCAGACCGCCCCCCACCAATCCCCAACCATCCCCAAACCACCTTGCTTGGATGCTTGTCGCAAAGCTTCATGCTTCGAATTCCGGTGGCCGCCGCGGTTAGCCCCACGGCGCGTATCGACCGTGACTGCGCTGGGCGCCCGTCGGCTTCACGGTGGACGTCAAGGACACTGTGACGTCACTGGCAAGAGTTGGCCGTTGTGTGCCGACGCCAGGGTCCACATTTGCCAACGTTCAAAATGACATCGCAAATTCCTGAATTGGGATCACAGACAGGAACAGTCATCTCGCCCCCTACTGGCAGACCAATGCCCCAGGTCACCTGGTTGAGCAATGTCAAATAATGAAACCGATCCATTCCAGGATTATCCCCTTGCTGAGGAGGCAGCTGATGTCCTGGGGAAGCTGTCAGTGTCCCCGGGACATTACAAATTTTTTGAGTCCAGGTCGTTACTTCGTTTCCTCACAATAACGACGACAGCGCCTCGAAGCAACGCATCCACCTGTGGCTCTCCCCTCTCCTGGTGTCGCGAGAGGGCCCTCCCTCTCTTCTTCCGCCCATGATGCGTCGCGGTTCTTTGTAGCTCGGCGGTGATGACCGTATCACCTGCGAACCAGGCGGCGTAGTTTCCACCCCCGCCTCCGCACCCCCCTCCCGCACCCCCTCCCGCACCCCCTCCCCCGGGTCGTCGTCGTCTGTGATACATCGGTGTTTTTGCATGGAGCGCGCACGGCCAGTGGCGGTGGCGGCATGAGCGAGCAAACCGAGCAAGGCCTCGGGGCCCCTATTTGGGGCCGTAGGGACTCCCGGAGGCTCTAGGAGAGAACCAGGACCTGGGAGAGAACCACGTGGCCTCGGCCGGTACCTCGTGAGTTCTTCGCCGCTTTTCGCCGTAGCTTTCTTCTTCACAATTGATTGCCTTGGCAACTGATTACAAAGTGGATGATCGTTTACTTGTGATTAAAGGTTAAGATGGTGCGATTGTCTAAGTGCGTCTCGCTCACGCGTGTGTGAGGGTGCGTGCACGCGATGTGTGCATGTGGTGCTGGCCAGCTGTGTCAGCTGTGTCGGCCTTCATAGGTGTTCACGAACAGCACTTGCCCCAACAGTATGTTGAAGCTATTTAGGGGAGCTTTGTCTTTGCGTGTTATTGTGCACCACGCATCAAGTTGAGCGAGCATCACGCAATGACAGCACGTTAAAGACTTCACCAGGCCGCGTGAGTGCTGCTGCTGCTGAGGATGATGCCAATGTCATCGATACCTCTGTCTGTGTTTGTGACGTTGCTATTGATCGTCGTGTTCGCAGCGAGGGGGCTATTTATGAACATTAGCAATGATTCTGCTGATAATCATTGATGGTGCTGCTGATGATGGTGTTGACATTGATGGTGCTGCTGATGATGATGTTGACATATGTGGTGGTGGTGGTGGTGGTGATGATGGTGATGACGCCGATGACATTAATCTTGCCGCCACTGCTGCTGCTGTTACTGATGATGGCGCGCGGAATAAGAGATTGAGTCACCGCTGCTGCTCGTTTCCTTACCAACAAATGAGGCTTCGCATTCGGGTGGCAGCATCCCCCTCGAGGAGGATGGCAAGTAACATCTAAACCATTCCTGGGCCTCCCCTAGGTCGACTCGGCCTTAAATGAGCACCTGCTACTTTGTGTCAACATCGGCGGCCGTGCGTGTTGCTGGCCGCACTCCACCCCCTCGTTTTCGCTGATAGCACTTGCCCAAAGAGTCTATGCAGGCTATACGGGGGATCTTTGTCTCTGTTGTGCGATAACAGTATGCAGACGGCTCCACTCATTGCCTTTGTTTGGCGGTTCCTATGCAACGGTCATTAGTAGAGCGCTGTAAGATTAAACGTGCAGTCCTTAATATCGGCTCCTCAACAAAATAACACGTATCTCGCTTCGGAATATAATTAAAATCAGGCGCTGCCGCCGCTGATATCAATAATTGGGAATTTTCGAGTGCAGGATAATCCCAGAGAAGGGAAATGAAGGCAGTGCCCCACGGTCCGACAGTGCGGTGGGTGGCACGGCGACGCTACGTGGATCGGTTGCCTCCGGCGCAACAGAGGAGGGCGAGAGCAGTGGAGCTCATCTCGGGCCCTCGCAGAGTCTCGGAGGGCCCTGGAGGGAAGTCGGCTGACGTGGCCTCGGGGCATGCGGCGTGAGAACAGAGGGGAGGGCAGGAACCACGTGGGGCGAAGGAAGGCGATGAAAGCGATGGATGTGGAAGCGCCAGGGTGGAGATTGAGAGGCAGGGTCTACAAAGAGGTGGATCGGAGAGGTGAACCGCGATGTGAAGGACTTGCGGAGTGAGCGGACCTCGAGATGACGGCCTAGGGTGGGGAGAGGAGCAGGACGGTGCAGCCCACGTGATGAGCGAGAATAATGACAGGAAGAGGGAGATGAGGATGAATGTAGATTGGGTTGCAGAGATGGGGTGCTGCTGCTACTGCCGTGGTGTGATGGTCAGCTCACTGGAGTTGCAATGGAAGAATGCACCGGTTCTATCTTCCGACGTGGCAGCTTGAAAGGGTGGTGCAAGCTTCTTAAATACCCGCCGCCTCTGTCGTCCCAGCAGTACGAATGGGTTCACACCCCAGTCAGTCGACCGGCAGGTCGCGTGCATTGGGGTAAAGTGTGGGCATCCCACCTCCTTCAAGATGGCTTTGCCAGTGTGGACGAGTTAGAGAGCAAACACCCTCTCGAGGGGTTCGCTCAAGCTCCCTGGGGGGGGGGGGGGGGGGGGGGAGCCCTTCCGCCAATGGTGGAGCGAGCACTTGCAGGGCCGCGCCTTTACCTTTCGTGGCCAAGCGAGAGGATGGGGAGCCTGCCACGGGTAGCCCAGCGGATGACCACAATGTACAGATGTGGTTTGGGAAAGTTCCAACGTTTAATTCGTTTTTGATGGGCTTTGCTCCCCTCTGAATTTACAGCACGGAGAGTGAGCGCGGGAAAGAGGGAAGAGAGGGAGAGCGGAGCTGTGGAGGTCGAGTGGGTGGGAAGCGAAATGTTGGCTTGCGAGTGTGTGTGGCATGTGCGTTTTGCATATTGCGCGTGTGTGCGTGTGTGCGTGTGTGCGTGTGCGCGTGTGCGCGTGTGCGCGTGTGTGCCCACGGCACTTATCGGCGTGTGTGTTGCCGTTAACGCTGCGCTACGAACCCAGCGACCCGTTGACAATTATCTGAACCGCTCCTGCCCCTCCCCTAGATCGACTCGGCCTAAAATTAGTACCTGGTGCAGTGTTTAAACATCGCCACTGAGGAGACAAAGGCGGCCGATCGTGGTGTTGGCCACCCACCCCCTCGCTGACAGGAATTGCCCTAACATTCTTTTAAAGGGATGTTTGCCTTTTATTTACACACATACGCGTGTCTTCGCTGCGTATATATCTGTAGGCACGCAGGCCGGCGCGTGTGTCCGTGTTGCTCGTTCAGTGAGACACGGAAGTTAATCAACAGCTCTGGGAGAACGAAAAACCAATTATCGCGTCGATTCTCGCCGCTGCGCTGTTGCCAATCATCGCGCGAGTTCGACTCCCGGTGCGGGCGTGAGTCTGAGAGAGATTCCAGATCCTCCCTCCACCTCCCTCACTACCTCCCTCTCCCACAAGCACCACGCGGTGGGGGGGGGTTATAAGCAATACAGGCGGAACTGGCTTCACGAATCCTTGCGGATTTGGAGTTATTTGTGCGTCAATCTGACAAATTGGCCTGCGTTGGAGCGATAGCTGCTCGTCACCGACGGCTGGCTGCTCGCGCTCACCACCAGAGGCCCGCACGCCGCGGCGTGTGTGTCCCAGCGCCCTGTGTCTGTGTGCGGTGTGTGTGGGTGGTGTGTCTCTGTGTGTGTGTGTCTGTGTGCGGTGTGTGTGTGTGTGTCTCTGTGTGTGTGTCTGTGTGTGGGTCAGTCATCTCAGTCAGTCGACCCATGGCACCTGGGTCTGTCCCGTGACTTCCTGCCAGCAGGCGTTCGACACTTCATTTGGCCTTTAAGTGCACATGGCCTGGCACAGACGCCGTGGTGACGTCACCGCCACTCAGTGGCAAATGGCGGTTGTTGCTGTTGTCTGTGTGTATGATGTGTGTGTCTTTGTGTGTGATGTGTGTGTCTGTGTGCGTGATGTGTGTTTGTCTGTGTGTGTGATATGTGTGTGGCTGTGCGTCTGTCTTTGTGTGTCGGGAGTGGTAGTGTAGCGGTTAGTGCGCTGCGCCAGGAAACCCAGGGACCCGAATTCGATTCCCGCATATGGTCAACACCAGTGACGCTGATCTGAACCGGTCCTGGGCCTCCTCGCCTAGGTCGACTCAGCCTCAAATGAGTACCTGGTGCGGTGTGTAGACCGCCACTTGGGGAACACAGGAGGTCAGGCGTAGTTGCTGGCCACCCAGCCCCTAGTGTGCCGTACCGGCCTTCATCGGTGCTCGCTAACAGCACTTGCCCTAAAAATCTATCCACCAAACCCTTCCTCGAATGTGTGTGTGATTTCGATTTAAAGCTTTCGTGACTCCAGAGATTCTTTGAACCCCCCCCCCACCTCCTACGCATTCCACAAGTAGTGACTAATCCCATATCATAAATATGCTAAATTCCTCTTGATATGCAAATTCCTTTGTCAAGCCGGCCCTTCCCCCTCCAACCCAACTTAAATATACGCTGCCAAGCCTGGTGGTGCTCATTCAGACGCTGTTTTCCCGACAGACCTGTTCTTCACCTGAGGACGGCTGCTTGCGTTGTGGCCGAAACGTCGTGAGAATTATTCTATTATGTTTTATTTTTATTATTTTATTATTTCCCTTCTACGTGACTTTACCAAAAGAACCAAGAAGATGTGTGTGTGTTTATGTTTTTACTCAATTGGGGTCACACCGCAGAAATCATCGCTCCCTCTTGGCAGAACTGATGCCCGCTTGAAGGCCATGTGCCGCGTCA